TGCCCCTACCCTGCTTGCGTTCTCACACTCTTAAAAAAAAAAGCTCAATTTAATCTTCATATTTAATATTTCCAATCCTGTAATGTATTCAGACTCACTTAGTATACCATAAAAAGTAACAAATGTTGGAGGAAAATGGCCCTCTGCCTCAAAATCGAACTTCCTACTAAACGAGTATTATTTAATATCAAAATCACTTCATGTATAAACTGGAAACAACTATTCATCTGGTCTTTACGTTAATGGGTTTTTTTTCTTTTTAATTAAAACAAAAGCGCTAAGGCAGATCTCAGGGAAAAAAAAAAAAAACACAACTTTTTTTTCTTCATTAGTTCATGTAGCTTCCTACAACTGAAGAAGTTCTTTACCCCAACTCCAAAGGTGAAGTTCACAGAGCCTCCTTCACTCCTTAACATTTGTTGTAAGACATAAAAGAGAGGAGAGACTCCCGGGTGGGTTAAGTGTCTGTCTCCAGCTTGGGTCAGGATCCCAGTGATCGAGCCCTATGCCGGGCGCCCTGCTTAGCGGGGCGTCTGTTTCTCCCTCTTCCTCTGCTCGTCCCTCAGCTCGTGCTCTCTCTCTCTGTCAAATAAATAAATAAAATGGGGCGCCTGGGTGGCTCAGTGGTTAAAGCCTCTGCCTTCAGCTCAGGTCATGATCTCAGGGTCCTGGGATCGAGTCCCGCATCGGGCTCTCTGCTCAGCAGGGAGCCTGCCTCCTCCTCCTCTCTCTCTCTGCCTGCCTCTCTGCCTACTTGTGATCTGTCAAATAAATAAACCAAAAAAATAAATAAATAAATAAATAAAATCTTTTTCTCTTAAATGAAGATTTTATTTATTTATTTGACAGAGAGAGGGAGAGAGAGAGACAGTGAGAGAGGGAACACAAGCAGGGGGAGTAGGAGAGGGAGAAGCAGGCTTCCCTTCGAGCAGGGAGCCTGATGTGGGGCTCCATCCCAGGACCCTGGAATCATGACCTGAGCCAAAGGCAGATGCTCAAAGACTGAGCCACCCAGGTGCCCCTCAAATAAATAAACAAAATCTTAAAAAAAAAAAAGATATTGGGATGCCTGGGTGGCTCAGTAGGTTAAGTCACTCCCTTAGGCTCAGGTCCTGGTCTCAGTGTCCTGGGATGGAGCCCCGAAATGAATAGGGTTTCCTGCTCAGTAGGGAGTCTGCTTCTCCCTCTTCCTGCTCTTATCCTCTCAGTTGTTCTCTCTCACCCTCTCAAATAAACAAATAAAGTATTTTAATAAATAAGTAAATAAATAAAACACAAAGATATAAAGAGAAGAAACATAATGCCCACATGATTTTAGTCAAATAGTATTTAAACACTATTACATGGTCTAATCCATGAAGAAGAAAAGCTATATGTGCTATGGTGAGTGCTGTGAAGTGTGTAAACCTGGTGATTCACAGACCTGTACCCCTGGGGAAAAAATATATTATATGTTTATAAAAAATAAAATTAAAGAAAAAAAAGAAAAGAAAAGCTATACCCTAAGCTCTACTTTTTTTTATTTTTTAAAGATTTTATTTATTTATTTGACAGAGAGATCACAAGTAGGCAGAGAGGCAGGCAGAGAGAGAGAGGGAAGCAGGCTCCCTGCTGAGCAGAGAGCCAGATGGGGGGCCCGTTCCCAGGACGTTGGGATCATGACCTGAGCTGAAGGCAGAGGCTTTAACCCACTGAGCCACCCAGGCACCCCTAAGCTCTACTTTTTAACACATGATCAGCATCACTTCAAAGAAGAAAAAAATCCTAACCATACTCAACTTATTAACAGCAACTGCAGATATGATCTTCAGCTATGGAAATAACTTGTTGGGAACATAAGTCGATCTATGCTCCCTTAAAGAGAAAGCAAGCAATTAAGCACTTCAGAGCAGAGCAGAATACACACCCTTATTTATTACCAAAAGGCAAACGTAACCATTACTGAGAGTAGTCTCACAGAATGAGTATTTTCATGGCAAACATGTCCATATACTGGAATTCAAGAGCAGGAAACAATGGACAGGTGTAAGATCTTAAAAACTCCTTCCTAGGAGCATCTGGGTGGTCAGTCTGTTAAGTCTGTTACACACCTGCCTTGGGCTCCTTCAGGTCATGATCCTGGGGTCCTGGGATGAAGCCCAGTGCTGGGCTCCCTGCTCAGCGGGAAGCTTGCTTCTCCCTCTCCCCCTGCTTGTATTCTCTCTCTCAATCTCTCTGTCTCATTCCAGGGTCCTGGGATCAAGCCCCGCGTCAGGCTCTTTGCTCAGGGGGAGCTTGCTTCTCTCTCTGCCTCTGCCTGCCACATTGCCTGCTTGTGCTCTCTCTGACAAATAAATTTAAAAAAAAAAAAAAAAAAGGGCAACCTATCGTTTTTTATAAAAAATAAAAATTATTAAAAATATCTGTCTCTCAGGGCGCCTGGGTGGCTCAGTGGGTTAAGCCTCTGCCTTCAGCTCAGGTCATGATCTCAGGGTCCTGAGATTGAGTCCCGCATCAGACTCTGCTCGGCGGGGAGCCTGCTTCCCCCCTCTCTCTCTGCCGGACTCTCTGCCTACTTGTGATCTCTCTCTGTCAAATAAATAAATAAAATCTTAAAAAAAAAAAAAATCTGTCTCTCAAAAAAAATTTTTTTAATTTTTAAAAAGAAGAAAACTTAAAAGTTTAAGAAAACTTAAAAACTCTCTCAAATGAATGAATAAAATCTTAAAAAACAACGATAGTAACAACAAACCTTCCTTGATATTCTATTCTAAGTTTAATTGGAAAATAAAATGATTCCTTTCCATAGTTTTTTTCTTTGCAGATACGGAGGAATAAGACATTAGCAGGGAGAAATGGAAGACAAGCTTTTAACAAAAGCAACCTATGGCCCTTTCAGTCTCCCACAGCAACACATAAACCAATCTGACCAAAATATGAACATTATTCTCTTTGGGACTGCCACTGTACCACATCCATGTGGAAACTCTGTGTGTCCTGACTGTTCTTTTGAGTCTCATGTTTCAGAAGCATGTTCATTTCACTGCCACAGCATTTTCCCCTAATTGCTACCTGTAATTTTATATTCTACCCCCTTTTAAGAGCTAGACCAACAACAAACCTTACAATTTTTTTAAATCCAGCACCTAAATTCCCACAATGTTAGCTTTCTAATATATTTAATACAATAAAAAAAAAAAATTTACTTATCCCAAGTCATATACTCACAGGTCTTAAAAAACTTGTCTCCCCATTTTAACTTATTTCCGAAACAAGTTTTAATTCAACTTCTTGGAGCTCAAAAACATGAGATACTAAATAGCTGAGTACACTCATTAAAAAACAACAACAAAAAAACTAACATCCCACATACCAATGTAAAAAGTGGTAAAATTAGACTCGGAAGTGATGAAAATCTGCCTATTGATGTGATCTGAAAACAACGATCAGGGAGAAAACTGCCTATCACCTGTAAACATAGATAATACTCAGCATAATTAAAGTTCAAAATAAAATATTTTAAAATAAACCAAGTAAGTGCTTACTGAATATATGTTTTGTGACAAATACTGTGTTCAAACAGCGCTGTACAAATAAGTCTGCGTAATGAACTGAAATTAAATACGGCCTTTACACTAGTTGAGCTCCTTAGCTGATTCATTAGAAAGGTAAGGACAGTTTCTGCAGCAGCTGGGGAGGCACTCTTCGGCTCTAGTGGGGATGGGAGATGGTGCTCCAATCTGGTTCTGCTAATTACTAGGTGTGTGACCTTGGACAAATTATTTAGGTTCCAGTTTCCTCCTATGTAAAGACAGAACTATAACAGCATGTACCTTATTGAGTTGTTTAGGAGAATTAAATTAAGTATTTCATGAACCGTACTTAGCTTGGCACCCAGCACATAGTAATCACTTAATCTTAACTACTATTAAAAGCAGTAAGTAGTAGTTTATTGGTATTATCATTTTAATCTAGAATCTGCAGGGCTAAAATGCTCTCTCCAGCGGCTAGTGCTTTTCTGAATGGTACAGGGTAATTCTCCATTAAGTCAGGCCCTCCCACCTCCTTGGGGCTTGAGTAACAGAACCACTAAGAATTGTTTCCTATCATCTCTATTGGCTCAGGAACCCAATGTTAAAAGCATATTTTTTACATTTTATAGAGCATCTATATGGTGATGGAAAATACCAATGAGCAGCGCTTGATTCGGTTACGGCGTTGATGAACTCCATTTAACTATCCTTTACAACAAATGCTGAATTCCTATCCATGCCACAGTCACTCCCCATCATTACCGAAACCCTGTACTGCAGCACCAGAGGAAAAACTAAGTTATAGCTCTAGTCCTCAAAGTTCTTTCCTTCTAAGAATCTGAAACTAATGGTTTCTTTGTTGCTAAATTTCACATACACTTTTCCATCCTTATCTTACTTAACCTCTCGGCAACTTTGACACTGTTGACCACTTTCTCTTTCTTGAAAATCTCTCCTTTCTGGCAGCTCAGTGGCTTCCTTTTTCTTGCTTCCACCCTTAAATGTCCCTGTTCTGCAAGATTTTCTTCTTCTTAGTTTGTAGGGTTGCAAGATGAAATGCCTAAACGTGCCACAGGGGCCGGCCAGAGACAGACCGGCAAACTTTGCTCATCTAAAGGAGGCTCACTCAAACCAGCTCCAGCAAGTTGTCGGGATTTAAAAAAAAAAAAAGACAATACAGAAAAAAGGGAAAAAAACACAGACCCAAGGTTTCTAAACCTTAGCCACTTTTCAGAAGTAGAAATCCAGGTTTCCACACAAAATGCAAGCAGCCCATTAAACTGTTAAAATAAAGATGCCTGACCTTGACCAAGTAAATCTATGTCCTCATCTATGAAATGGCAGTGATAAAGTCACAAACATATAAAAAGTGAATCAAGCAAAACATTTCTACAGCCTTTCATTTGATCTTCCACTCTACATCTACCCCAAGACTACAGGTTATGAACCCAAGTTTCAAGCCACATGCAGAACTGTAAACATGCAAAAATGCATTCTTCTGGAGAAGAATCCACAGAGTTCATCAGATTCCCCCAGAAGATTAAGAACCAGACTAAGCCAAATGTTTCTGCTTCTACGGCTGCAGCTGTCATCCCTGTGAGGGTGATTCCCCCCAACAAGCTATGTCTGGCCAACCTATGCAGACCACTTTACCTCGGCGAGCAGCCTCTCCACTGACTTCTCTCCATCTCCACTGTCAATGCCATGGCCTCAGTTCAAACCTTCCATCTCTCCTTTGCAGCTGCCTCACTGGCCTGTTCCTTCCACTCTGTACAACTTGGATCCTCTAGAACGCAAATAATTTACTTGACCAAAGGCCTTCAGGGTCCACTAGGAACACAAAAGGAATGCAAACTCCCGAGCCCACCAACACTCCTTAAGACCGGGCCTGGCGGACTTCTCCCCTCCCACTATTTATTCCTATTCCTACTACTCCTACAATTTGCAACACAGAATACTCTTTTGTCCTCAGGCATTTATTCATAGGAGCAGGTCCCACCTCTTGGAATGCTTAACTCCTCCCATTCGCTTAGGGCAGAAACCCTTATTAAAGTCTAGAAATCCTGGAAAGTCCTTCTCCTCTTTAAGGCTTACCCCTAGGCCAGAATAAATAGGCTTTCTCCCTCCAGGCTAATCTATCCCTTATCATTCAATGATGAATGTCAGCCTTTTTTTTAATCCCACTAGACTAAAAACTCCTCAAGGGCAAAGAACCTGTCTTTGTATAACAAGGCCACAGTGACCAAAAGGAAACTGATCTGGTGAGTGAATGGAACGGCCCTGGTTCTGGCAACTCCCATCATGCCTCGGGTAAACATCCCACCCTCCCCGGGTAGGCCCGCCAAAGTCAAGGACTAGGGCTTCCTCAAAGCTCTGCGGCTTACACCCTAGCAGGCCTAGAACTCCAAAGTGTCAAAGGAGCAACTAACTACGAGTAAACCCACCTTTCTTCCCCACCGCACTTACCAATCCTTTACATCTGCCAACTCACAGAATTCAACAGCTAGACCACTATGAGCTGCTGAGACGTCTAGGAATACACTGCCAACTTTTTACTGGCACAAAAACAGTTATTTGCCCCATGAAGGTAATTATACTATTCTAACTGTATTCAAATACTTACTAGTATTAGTAATATCTGCGGAACCAAGAACTTACTCACATTGAAAAAAAAATCTCACACCCAGAATAGTAAAAATCTTTAGAGGAAAATATTATATAAAAGTCATGCACCAGGCACCATTCTAGAAACTATGTATGATTCCAGTCATTCAATGGCCACAGCAACCTAATGGAAAAGGTATTACTATCAACCCTTTTCACAGATGGAGAAACTGAGACTTAGTGAAATTAAGCAATTTGTCCCATCACAGGAGCTACAAGGCCAGCAAAAGAGCTTAGCCAACAGAAAACTACACAACACTGTTAAATGGGAGATCCTAAGATTATGTTGCATGTACACACAATCACACAGAGAGAAAACACAACAAAATATGTTAACAGTGGTGAGTTACCTTCTGAGTGTGAAAAACAGGTCTGAGTGGGATGAATATGAGCCTGTATAACTTTTAGTCAGAAAAAAAGCAAACAAGCCAATAAGAGAGATGGTATTTAAATGGTTTTAATTAGGGGTACCTGGGTGGCCCAGTGGATTAAAGCCTCTGACTTTGGCTCAGGTCATGGTCCCAGGGTCCTGGGATCGAGCCCCGCATCCAGCTCTCTGCTTAGCCGGGAGCCTGTTTTCTCCTCTCTCTCTTTCTCTGCCTGCCTCCCTGCCTACTTGTGATCTCTGTCTGTCATAAATAAATAAAATCTTAAAAAAAAAAAAAGATGTAAATTCTTAAAAAAAAAATTAAATAAATGGTTTTAATTAAAAAAGGGTAAGGTGGACGAGGGGAATCGTTAACCAGGACCTACTAAGAGCCAAGTTGCACATGGGCTATCTCATCTAATTCTTGCACCACAAATGTTGTATTTCCATTTTACAGATAAAGAAACCAATGATTAAGTAACCCACCCCCGTGGAAGAGCTGGGATCAGAACCCAAAGCCCAGTCCTGATGTGTCTGACTGCAGGATACCACCCTACAAATAAAATTTAACTGAGAAGTTGTTTAAAAACAAAGCACATTCTGGGAAAGAATCAGCCCAGGAAACCTGGCGTATTAAGTGAAGGTGGGAAAAGATAGAGAGGCCTAAGGTTTTAACTTTAAGCTTTAGGTAACTCCCCAAGTGTCTCAAAAGAACGTTCTCTAGAAAATCAGCCATGACAGTGAGGACTCTGGGACAGACCCGTACCTGAGGGGAGTGGGAAGGAGATTCCACTGCTGTTTGTTTTGCAAAGCAGAATGGCATTAGCATAAGTTACAGGGACTTAAATGTGACCCCATTGTATAAACTGCAGAGTATCTGCTTTGGGGACAATTGGCGGCCTCCAACCCAGTCTCACCTATTCATCTATTGTCTACAAGTCACCAGGTGTGTGTGGGGAGAAACGGGATGTTGCGTGTCCGACAATATTGCTAACTGTATTCAGATATAAATGACCTCTCATTATTCATAACTGCAATTCCAAACCTGGATAGTGAGAGCTATGAACTCTTGGGAAACATCTCAGGTGAGAATGAATGGATCAGCACTTTTTTTTTGAAATGACATATTTAATTTTGAGTGCTCTGACTTCGAAATTTTAAAATCCACATAAACTAAAATCTCATTTCTCTAAAATAGTAGTGTTTCATTTTTATAAAATGATTTTCTGAGGAAAATAGCTGGGGTGGGAGTATACAAATTTCCTTGTACAATCTTTCAGAGGAAATAAAATGATTATTTCAGACTTACAAATTAAACATCTACTTTTGAAACTAAATATTTAATAGTGAAAAATACATTACCTTTGCAATTTAAAATTAATTCAGTATTTGCCCTGAAAGCCTCATTAGTTTCAAATAAAATGTAACTTAGAGGGGCGCCTGGGTGGCTGTGGGTTAAAGCCTCTGCCTTCCGCTCAGGTCATGATCCCAGGGTCCTGGGATCGAGCCCTGGGATCAAGCCCCGCATCGGGCTCTCTGCTCAGCGGGGAGCCTGCTTCCTCCTCTCTCTTTGCCTGCCTCTCTGCCTCCTTGTGATTTCTGTCTGTCAAATAAATAAATAAATCTTTAAAAAAAATGTAACTTAGAAAAATATCAAATCCTCCATTCCCTCAGGAGTAAAGTAGCCCACAAGTTGATTAGATTAGGAAATTATGTAGGTTTGGGACAGGATCCTTTTGAAAGCTTAGAAAACTCAAGTCGACAATATACCTTAAAGATCTTAATTTATGGGGCAAAGAGATCTTCTTTTTAAATCCTAAAATGTTCTAGGAAAAGAGACTCACTGAATCATTTCTTCTATCCAACATGCTCTAAAAATAAGGGCGAGCTATAACAGAAGTAACAATTCTGGGTACACAAGCCTATGAAAATGTCTGAGTCAATACGCAATTTCAATTCATCAATAAAGTTAAACAACCATTAAATGTAATTTGCATTTTTGAATGAAATCCATACAACCTCAAATATCAAGCTTTCCTTAAGTAAAATGCTAACTGGCTGGGTATCTATCATTGTGGAGAAACAGAAGGAGTTTTATTTTAGGCAGACAAAAGGAAAAGAAAGCCACACTTAGTAAGAATCACAGAAGGAGTCTCACTTCCACCCCTGACAGAAGTCAGACTAAGTCATGGGTTATCTCTTGCTCTGCAAGGGGCAGCTTTTCACTAGGTAACAGTCCTCTGGGGTGTGTGTGGTCAGAATGTGGAACACCTCTGCCAGCAAACTACAGCCTGATACCAGGCAGGACACACGCACATACACAGCACATAATACCATAGGTCCACTAAAAAAAGAAAGGGGGGAAAAATAAAAGTGAAAGAGGAAAAATAACCTCCACACTTGCCCACACCAGGGGCTGGTAGTGGGGCCAGAGGACATTAACATTTCCACTTCTATACTAAAGAACAACCAAAAGGAGGTTAAGTGTAACCACAGGAAACATCCCATCCCTGAAAACCAGGAAATCTAGATTTGGAAATTAAAGTTTTTGACTTTCCTTTTTTTTTTTTTGCAACTTTCAAAGCTCAAGGCACCAAAATAAAGCTAAAATTAAATCCGTTTAAACATAGAAAAAAAATTACCAAAACCACACTGTGTCAGCTATGTTCAGTTCCCTGAGGGCTCTTCCACCGACCCTTCCGAGTTGTGGCAATAACAAGTTTCCTTAAAATCCCCCATTTTCTATCTCTAGGGTCAAATATAAGAATATCACATAAATTCAAAGAGTTATTGTCAGAATAGATAAACTGCTCATCCTTAAACTGTAGACCTTGTTTCAGGAGCTGCCCTGCCCACCTCCTCTCCCTCCTCCTAAATTTTAATGCTTCCAAGCGTGCTGACAACCAGGGTCTCCCCCTTGGGTTCTGTTCGTGTGTCTGATTTACCAGACACTGACCAAATAGGGCAGGAAACTCCTACGTCTGGGGGCTGCTCCAGAAATCCAGCCCCCTCTAATGACAGTCTCCTCGCCGTTCCCTACAGTCTTTCCCTCTGCGGGGACCGTCCAGAAACGGGGGCTTGAGACCCAAAGGAGTCCGGGAAGAAAGGAGGGGGGACGCTTAATCTGAAATGAACACCCCCGGTTTCTGGAGTAAGGGCTAAAAAGGCGATTAGGAGAGCCTACCCAGGAGAAATACCACCTGAATTTACCTCCTCCTCTCCCGCAGCAAAAGCCCAGTCACTAACTAATACGCTAAGAAAAATCCCTGGAAAACTTTTCCAAACGGGCAGAGAAGGCCCGCTCCCCAGCCTGGGGGGCTCCAGGGGAACGGGCTGGGAGTTTGCAGCCCAGGAAGGGCTCGCCGGGGAGTGGGGTGGGGCGCGGGCGAGGGGTACAGGGGCGGAGTACCTTCGATGGACAGGAACTGGCAAAGAGTTGCAAAATAGCCGAGTGCTCTCCCCCACGCCCTCGGGGGTCGCAGGCGCTAGGACCAGGGCTCCCCGAAAGGAGGGCAACCCCCAATTCGGGCCTAAAAGGAAACTTTCCGGGCCGCGGCTGCACCTGACTCCTCACCGCCCCTCCACCCCACCCCACGCCCGCCAGGCCGCCCGCCCCGCCCCGGCCTGGCCGCCCGGAGCGCACAGAGGGATAAATAAATTCAACTATTACCGGAATCGAGGGGGATGGGGGCGTCTGCGAGAGACCAGGGGAAGGGGGCGGAAGGGTGCCCATTCCCCACTCCTAGGCCCTGAGCCCCCGTCCCGGCAACCCGGGCCTGCCGCCCCGCGGGGAGCCTCCCGGCCCGGCGCACGATCCGGCCCCGCAGCGCCGCCGTCCCGCCCGGAGGCCCCGAGGGAGCCGGAGGGTCGCGGGGAGGCCCGGGGTGCTGGGGCAGGGCGCGGCAGCCGCGGGGCCCGCCGGCCCGAGGCCTAGCCGGCTCCCCCCCCCAACAACCCCAAACGCCCGCCCCGGCCCACACCCCCACCCCGGCCCGCGCAGGCCGCGCTGCTCTCCCGGCTCGGGCCCCGGCCGGACCCCCGCCCGCCCGCCCGCCAGCCACCGCCGCCCGTGGGCGCCCCCAGGGCCTCGCGGCCCCCAGCCCCCGCCGCCCCGGCGCCGGCCCCTCTCACCCTTTCATTCTCTGCCCGGGGCCTGACGCGGGCCGGCGGATCCCCGGCCTCACGTAAGCGCGCTCGCCGCCCGCCCTGCCTGCGCGGCCCTGCCCGCCGCCCTACGGGAGCCCGGGGATGTGGGCCGGGCCTGGGGCCGCCTCTGCTTACCTTTCAGCTGCTTTTTTTTTTTTTTCTCCTTCCCCCCTTTTCCCTCGGCCGGGCTGACAGATCAGAGTGAGAGGCGCTGGCAATGGACTAGGAAGCTCGGCTGCCGCTGCTACTGCTCCCCCCTGGGCTCCGGCGAGAGCCTTTCCCTGTCAAGCAAGAGGGGTGAGGATCATATTTTTATTTTGGAAACTAAAAAGTGCTCCCAGGGTCGGTGATTATTAAGGGGAAATCCCTGAATATACTCTCCAGCCAAGAAGGCAGGGCTGCCGGGGCTGCACAGAAGAGGCAGCAGCCTCCTACAGCACCACTACAGGCACTGCGAGGACATAACACCAGAGAGCCGCTCCTCTGCCCTCCGAAACGACAACTTTCCTACCATCTTGGAGGCAGAGGAAAGGGGGGCCGGGGGGAAAAGTGCACCCGCTCCCGATAAAGTACAAATTTCTACTTCTCATCTCTGGAAAAAAGTCCACACCGGCCGTCTACACCGGCGCCTGGGGGAAAAGGCGGGGAAGAAACTGGGGGTGCTTGAGAAACGTTTCATTTGCACCACGGGGCAAAATGTTTCTGCATCTTCTGATGGAGAGAAATCTTTACAAGACACAGGTTTTCCGGTGATTATTGTTTTCTCTTGTCTATTTAATTTTTTTTTTCCATGTCGGGGGCAGTGGTATTTTATTTTATTTTATTTTATTTCAGGCTGATCGTGATTTTTCTCCATTGCAGATCCAAGTTCTGGGGCTGGTGGTCTGTTTATAAATTTGTACTTCAAGAGACTTCATAGCCACTTTATCTTCATTTGTCTGTTTGTATTTTTTTACATGTATATTTACAGGTTGCCTTATATATAAAAATGTGTGTTATTTATTCCCCTCAAAACTGAGATTGCGAAAAGACAGTTGTAAAGGGATGTCTTTTGTCTCCTTTTCTCAAAGCAATGTAAATAAAACCTATTGAGTGTCCAGAAAGGCTGGATACAGCTGTTTATTTTTCACAGTGCAAATAAAGGCAGAGATCATTGAGAGGTTAAATACAACTTAAGGGTAACTGACCAGATTTCTGGAAATAATTCTAATTCTGTTATGGTCTCCCCAGGAAGAAAGGTTACTGTAAAACTGGAAATAGATTTGGATTTAGCTTTAGATTTTCTTTAAGACTGCTTATTAAGAAACTGCTTATTAGACCTAGATACTGGATTTTCCCATTGGATTCTTTAGATCTTTGGTGACTTGCACGTGTTGCTGCCCACTTTCTGTGTCACAGAATGGGAAAATGTGTGTTTTTGTTCAAGTTGCTGTGTTAGTTTATAACTTCCAATGTGCTGCCGGCCTCTATAAATTACTTTTAATATATTGCAGTGGATGTCACGGGTCTACTTTTTTTAATGAGCAAAGCTTCGTAGGTAAGTGGGATCAAAGTTGCACAAAGCTGAGGTAGCACAGAGGTGAGAGAAGGGATCCGCCCCCTTGCAACAATTCCCACAGAACTCTTATTGGAGGAGAATAAATTCCAGAGATATTTTTCTATTTTTGCCAAGAAAGGGGAGAGTACCCAAAAATGACTAAAGGATCTTTTTGTGGGTTCTACTGGGAATGATGAATTGAATCTTAGACTAAAAGTTATTTTTCTGACATATGTTTGCTAACCTAGTGGGAATAGATTTGTAATATTAGTGCCTCGAATCAGCAGAATATTTAATTTCTTTCATTTAAAATGTATTGCAAAGCACTTAGAAATAACTGATGACTCCACTTAAAAATGTTTCTTCTTTTGAGCGTCCAAATTTAGAAATTCCCATAATGTTAAAGTGAGTTCAGATAATGCATATATCAAATACTTATTATTTTCATGTTTATCTTTATCATCTTTACCATCTTTATCATCTAAATTTGAATACAGTACCTGAATAGTCTGGGTTTTCTTTTGTGGGCTTTTTTTTTTTTTTTTTTTTTCTCATTAGTAGAAAAATCAAAAGTTGTGGGGCCTGGGTGGCTCAGTTGGTTAGTGGCTGCCTTCAGCTCAGGTCATGATCCCGGGGTCTGGGATCTGCTTGATGGGGAGCCTGCTTGGAGCCTCTTCTCTCTCTCCCTGTGCCACCTCCCCCTGCTTGTGCTCTCTCCCTTGTCCTCTTACTCTCAAATAAGAAAAATCTTAAAAACAAAAAAAGTAATTAAAGTAAAATTAACTGATTCTTATCTTGGAAACCTCACTGGGAAGTTGTATTTTATTTACAAGTTTTTAAAAAAACATTTGGAGATCAAACACGTTGGTCATGACAAGGAAATTACTTCCCTTAACATGGAACCCTAGTGGACTTGAAAAACGGGTTTCGAACTTGTTCTTCTATATGATGTGACTTTATAGATATGCTTTGCATTTTTCAAGAAATTAAGATGTGTTCGCTTTAAGCTGACTGCACCCTTTTATGCAATCCCTCTTGTGTCCCACAGACTTATTTGCACAATAGGGATATGGGATATGATGCATAATCTTAGTATTTCAGTGTCTTTCTCTTTATAAAGCTTGACTTGTACATGGCTATAATCCATGATATTTATCCACCAGCTGCAGACTTGGGGAATTACAGCATAACCGAGAAAGAAATCTCACTATGTTTGCAATATTGGTGCATTTGATTGGTCAGTGTTTCAGTTGCTCATTGAACTTGTATTAGGAGGTGTGTCTCTGTAATTCCTAGAAGCTGCAGGTAGTAACAAAACTACTGACCTAACTGGGGCTCCTGGGTGGCTCAGTCAGTTAAGTGTCTGCCTTTGGCCCAGATCATGATCTCAGAGTCCTAGGATACAGCACCCCCCTCTTTAGACTTCCTGCTCAGCAGGGAGTCCGCTTCTCCCTCTTCCTTTACCCCTCCCCCAGCTCATGCCCACACTCCTGCATGCTCTCTCTCAAATAAATAAGTAAAATCTTAAAAACAAAAAACAACAACAACAAAAACTGGGCACCTGGATGGCTCAGTGGGTTAAGCCTCTGCCTTCGGCTCAGGCCATGATCTCAGGGTCCTGGGATGGGGCCCCACATCAAGCTCTCTGCTCAGCGGGGAGCCTATTCCCCCCCCCCACCGCCTACCTCTCTGCCTATTTGTGATCTCTCTCTCTCTGTAAAATAAATAAATAAAATCTTTAAAAAAAAAAAAACAAAAAAACGCTGACATAATTAACCTTAAATAACCCTATTTTTGTGCCCCCCCAAAAAAAATCCCAAAACTCAAATTTGGCTAATATTATTGAGCCCCAACGGCATTTTGGTAACCTTGCTGGACACTTTATGTATGTGCTCTCATGTAATGCCCCCAAAAGCTCCAAACAGGGTTATTTCTCCTTCTTTGCTCTCCTCTTCCTCTTTCTCTTTTCTTCATTTACAGTTGGGATAACTGTCTATACTTTCAAGGGGGTGTAGACCTTCTTGGCCTTAAAACTTTCTAAGAAGATTTCAAATTCTCCTTGTGCTCTAGAATTGCTGAGGTGCCTACCACAGCTCTATGTTCTGTATCTGGAAATGCTAGATTCCTGTCCTATGCCCTCTGCCAAAACCAAATTTTGAGTAGCCAGCAATCGGAACTCTCGTTAGTGACAACCAGGGGCCTATTTTACCTTCCCGGGGTCTAGTAACTAAGTCTATGTTATTTTGAGGAATGCAAGCTGTCAGCGAAATAGCACTGTGAATAAGAGAGGAAAAAATTAACAGTGTATGTTGTGAAGTACTAGCATAATTAGAAGTGCTACCTATGGTTGTAAGGTTATGCTATTTATTTTTTTAAGATTTTATTTATTTGACAGACAGAGATCACAAGTAGACAGAGAGGCAGGCAGAGAGAGAGAGGAGGAAGCCGGCTCCCTGCTGAGCAGAGAGCCCCATGCGGGGCTCAATCCCAAGACCCTGAGATCATGGCCTGAGCCGAAGGCAGAGGCTTAGCCCACTGAGCCACCCAGGCGCCCCAGGTTATGCTATTTTATAAAGATCTAGTTAATGGACGACAGTGACCTGCAGGCATGAATGAATGCCAGAGTTTGACCAAAATGATAGTTGAAGCAGTAGTGTCTTATTTATTCTGTTACTGTGCCTTCATTTCACAAGCAGTTTGGCCTCTCGTTGAAATAGAAAATGTTTGACTTAATTTAATATTTTTGCTATATTAGAATCTTTAACTGATCTATTTAAGTATTAATTATTTTAACCTTGTAAAAATTAGCCACCTTATGATGAACACTTAACTGTGAAGTCATTACGAAAATACCACCTATATCCTTAAAAGGTCTCATCCATAGATTGTGTGGATTTAAAATGAAAGATTTATGCATGTTTAATAATATTACATGTCTTTAAGCAATAAACCTATGCCTTTGTTGGCAAATGTTTGCTGACAGAATCAAGTATTTAAAAAGACACTGACAGCAGACGTGGTTATACAAATTATACATGGGGTTTTTTTGTGGGGGGTATAAGGGCATGTATATAAACCTTCTCTCATACATTTCCAAAGACAGATGCTAAAGTCATCAGGAGTCCCTAGCCAGTGTAAAAACTCCCAAGGGGTAAAAAGGTAGAAGTAGGCTATATGTACAGAGCCTAAAAGTTTTCAAAACCACACTATTATGATGGCCATAGACACAATTTTTTTTCACTTTAAGCATTTCTGTTTTGGAAACATTTGTTGGTAATGTTTCTATCTAAAACAAAGATCCGGTTTTATTGTGGTTACGGTGCCCTGCAAGAAAATGTTTCTGAGGCAAGCGTAGTTGGCAGACATCCAGGTCATGGTTTTAGATTATTTGAGTATGAAATTTCTGTAATGTAGATTTAGCTGTAGTCAAAACACACATGATCAGGTCGTCTTCACGTTCTAACACCTAATCCAGGGGCACTGAGACCTGGGAATTCCTACCTGATGCCAAGACAGAAGCCAAGAAAGTCTCCCCCTTGCCCCCCGACAAGTCCCAAAAGATACCCCCTCCAGGAACCCATTGGTCACTGGCAGCACCAGGGGCGGGATGTGTCCCTAGTGCCATCTAACTGCCTTATCACGCTTTCGGCAGAAGAATGTAACCTCCTAGCCCAGGCTGTCGGCATTCTGGAGACGTTCCGTGGACTACCAACTCTAACCAGAGTTGTGTAAGTAATGATCAGTAAAAAAGAACACCCAAAAGCAGTATTAATGATTGGATCCGAGTACAATTATAAGTGATTATCAACCTTTTCTAGAATTAATAATGAAAAACTGTTCCAAAAGTGCTGGTTAGTTAAAACATCGTAGTAAGAAGAGAAATCCATTGAGTCCTCAGAATAACAGGCAAAGTTCAACACAAAGATTACAGTGTTCATTTCTGCTACATTCCCGGTAAAGCTAGCTTTTGTAGACCCACTGGGAACTTAACCACTATTTCCATGGGAAAATAAATTCTAGGTTCCAAACAGCTAATGGACAGTGATGTTCTGGAACACGTTAATAACTTTGAACTTCCTGTACTGTATGTGATGTCTTTGCCATGTATTTGTCACAGACGGCCAGGGTTCAACAGTGAGGGTGGGGAAAAAAGGGAAATTCTCTCATTCAGTTAAAGTAAGGAATTACGATATTTTTTTTAATATTTTTTAAAAGATTTTATTTATTTCTTTGAGCTAGAGATCACGAGCAGGAGGGGAAGAGTGGAGGGAGAAGCAGACTCCCCAGTGAACAGGGAGTCGATGCGGGACTCATCACAACCTGAGCCAAAACAAGAGTCAGTCATTTCACCACCTGCGCTGCCCAAGGCACCCCACTAAGGAGTTACTCTTAACACGATTCAAATAGCTTGATTCAAATCCGGGTGAGGAAGATTATCAAATTCTAAAGGGGTAAGGCCAGTTGTACACCAGGAGAGAGAGCATGAGAGAGGAGGTCAGAGGGAGAAGCAGACTCCCTGTGGAGCTGGGAGCCTGATGTGGGATTCGATCCTAGGACTCCGGGATCACAACCTGAGCCAAAGACAGAGGCTTAACCCACTGAGCCACCCAGGCGCCCCTGCATTTTGCTTTATTAAGGAAAACCAGAAAGAGAAAGAAGTGAGGGGACAGAAGTCGGTAAGATTCTACTAAAAATGATCCAACCTTGTCCTTCCGTTAGGCTGATGCTGTTTTTTGCCCCACATGGCACGTCATGGCCATTCTTGTCTGGATGCCCCCATTCCCACTCTGCTTTGATGCCTTGCTCAGAATCGTGTCCCCAAAGTTTTCTGATGCCACCTGAGTCTACAGTGACCTTGTTCTTATTTTAATGCCTTGAGTTGTTTTCTAGGATTTGGGGGGTTTTGTTTGTTCATTTGTTTCCACGTGTGTTCCTCTTGTGCAAAACAGCGTGAAGTGGTTAGGAGCCCAGTCTCCTGTCAAGGCCATCTGGTTCAGGAACTTGGCTTTACCACTTTCCTTGGTAGTGTGATGCTGGGCAAGCTTTTAACCTCTCAGTTTCCTCATTTGTCAGAATGAGAATAATAAGAGCACCTACGTTACTAGTATTATGGTAAGGATTAAGTGGCACAGTGCATGGAAGGCCCGAGGCAGGGTCTCCAGCCGTAGTAAGTGCTGTGTAAGGTCAGCTGCCCTTTTTGGTTGCTTGCCAGTAAACACCTTACAGGCAGTACGGCTCAAGGTCAGGGAGTACTGTTTTGTTATTGTTTTGTTTTGAAGCACTACCAAGACAGTGGGCTTAGCGGCACTAGTTACAAATTGACCTCAACACGGGAAAAGATGAAAGGAGATTAAGATTATGGCATACTGAATATCTACGTAACAGAAATAGTCCATTGATTTTTTTTCCAGATTTTTTTTTTTTTTTAGGTAATCTCCATGCCCACCGTGAAGCTTGAATTTACAACCCCAAGATCAACAGTCTCGAGCTCTAACAACTGAACCAAATGGCCCCTCCAGGTAGTTTTGAATACCCAGATAGTTGACAGTCTCCAACAAAGAATTTTAAGTTTAGCTGAGATCTTGGTGTCCCTCAGACTCAATCAAGGTGTTGAATATAAAATGGAGTACAGGAAAAGTACTCACACAATGCACGACAGACTACTGTGACCAGTTAAACCCTCTTTCATTAGCCATTCTAAAGAATGAGAAATGCATCTAAGTTTCAGTATGAGGTATTGAAGAAAGATTGTTCTGACAAGGAAGCATTAAAAAAAATGAAAAAAAAAATTTTAAGATTTATTTATTTGAGAGAGTGAGCTTGGGGGGGCATGGGCAGAGGGAGAGAGAATCTTCAGCCGACTCCATGCTGAGCCCGGAGCCCAAGGCAGGGTTCAGTCTCATAACCTAACGACCTAAGCTGAAACCAAGAGTCGGACGCCCAACCGACTCCACCACCCAGATGCCCCTGATTATGAAATATCTTCAGAAAGGGCCATCCCATAAAGGAAGCAGTGGATGTTTGACACGTATAACATTTCCAACTAACTGCATTATCAGACAGCTATTAGTTACTTGTTTTAAAATGCAAATACAGGGGTGCCCCTGGGTGGCTCAGTTGGTTAAGCAGCTGCCTTTGGCTCAGGTCCTGATTCCAGGGTCCTGGGATCGAGCCCCTCATTGGGCTCCCTACTCAGCAGAGGGCCTGCGTCTCTCTCTCCCTCTGCCTGCTGCTCTTTTTACTTGTGCTCTCTATTCTCTGTCAAACAAATAAATAAAATCTTAAAAAAAAAAATTCAAATACAGTGTTAGGTTAAAATGTGGGGTTTAGAAAACCATGTGTGACTCCCATAGCTAATATTTGTTTTGTAGCTATAAAAATGGGCAAGTTCCCTAGACTGTAAAGCCTCAGTGCCCTCATTAAGACGACTGCTTGAATAAGAAAATTTATAGGACCATATGTAGTATACTATCTGACACTTAACAACCATTCCATAACTGAACATTTCTATTTCTTTTCTCTGAATTCATAGAAAGTGACTTTAATCAAAGTAGGCCTTTAATTAGAAAACTGAGAAGGGGCCTTGCTCTAGAATTGATTTCGAAAGTATCGAAGAACAAATAACATATTAGTTAAAACCCTATTTACATACTTATTATTTTCTGGGAAGATTTGTGTGAGATTTCTCTGTGATTGAAGAGTACTTGAGTAAATGAAAGTTTAATTTTTAAACTATATATTTTTCCTGTAAGACAGCCTTAGCCAACACAGAGCCACAAGCATGTAGTCACTGTGCTATGTGCCCAGACTCCTAGCACTTGGCTCTAACCGAAAATGATCACAGGGGTCTTCTTGTGCAGGGTGCTAGGTGATACCCTGCCTGGAGAACTGACCTCAGCTCTGTGGCATATATTGTGTTTGAAACAGGGAACTTAAGAAATCAACTCAGCAGCTAATCACCTACTAAAAAGAACAGAATGCTATAGAATAGAAAATATCCAGAGTCATTGTGGTCAAAGTTTATTTCATGAAACCGTTCTCTTCAGTTACAAACACATGTGTGTGCCTTTATGGCGTCTTGGGACAAAAATTTGAAGAGCTCCTGGTATATCTTAAGCAGGCTGAAATTTGTAGGATCTTGCAGTGGTTAAAGAGTGAACCAGACAGGCCTTGTCCTCTCATTGGCTTTACAGTTGAGGTATAGGATAAAGGTCTGAACTGGCCTGGTGGAAGACGTAGGGAGAGGTAGAGCCCAAGCAGAACTTAAGACCACTGGGCTTAAAAATGTTAAGTTTCTTATTTTTTTCTCAACTGCTGGCTGAGCTAAACGTGTTGAGGGCAAATCTATCTGATGAGAACCCGTGACGCTGGATAGGTTATCTCATGAAAACACAGGTTTTCTGTGCAAGTTTACCTTGTCATACCTCAAAGGCGTGAAGAGGCCATTGTGTGGTCAAAGAATGAAAGAAAACCAGGAAACAGTAGGACTTCTGTGGTGGGAAAATAAACTGAACAGGGTTTTGATTAAAGTCAATGAAGGAAGTAGATCAGCTTGAACATTAAATTGTTTACCTGTAAGTCAAAGACGCTAAAATCTCAGGTGAGGTATTCAAGATTAAAGGAAGTATTTTTTCACAGCAGTAAGTTCTGACTGTGTAAAACTTAATTCAAAAGCTGAAATTTGTGGGGCACCTGGCTGGCTCGGTAAGTAGAGCAGGTGACTCTTGATGTTAGTGTTGGGAGTTCAAACCCAACCTTGGATGTACAGGTTGTACTTGGATGTACTTTGAAATAAAATCTTTAAAAGAAAGAAAAAAGATGGAATTTATTGCAAAGATTAACTTGTAACAGTTGAAAATAGGAGACTCAGCCCAAATTGCTTGGCTTCAGTCAGTGAGTGCTTGCTGGGCAGGGCATTCAGGCTCTGTGGGGAAGTAAAATAGGGTACCCAGCTGGGCACAGGGAGGTAGAGTCTAGCTGCAAGGTAAGTAAGGTCAGGGAAACCCTGGGGAGCAAGCAAGAGCTCAGTAGGAAACCGAAGGGGCAGAGCAAGGAGTTAAGCTGCTTTGGGTTGTCGTCGAGGCCCGCCTGGGTCTCTGAGGGCCCCTGGGCCCCTCTCGGAGCCTCTTTCGCTCCTTCCGAAAACTGGTGAGAGTGCTTGTGTGGAGTCAAGAAGATATGTGGGAATCTCTAGCAGTCCTGGCACGAAGAAGATCCTAGATCTACAGAGGTTTTTACTTACCTGGGGCAGAGGAAGTGGCGTGAGGTAAAGCAGGAGTATGTCTTCTCTGTAGAATGACAGCGTATGTGCTGGAAAATAGTGGAAAATAAAGAAGTAGGGTAGGGCCCAGTTAAGAGAACTTTGAAAGCCAAGCTGAAAAGTTCAAGCAGATAAAACAGGCAATAACCACTATTTATACTTAAGCAAAAGGATCTGCTATTTAATTATTCAAGGAGTACCTATGAATCAGTTATAGAGTGCTAGGCCCTGCAGTTAGGATATTGGGGAAACAGTAACCCCTGCCCTCAAGTGGCTTCCATCTGGCAAGGGAGAGAAGAATTATTGTTTTAGAGATGTTTTATTTTATACAAATCCCACTTTAAAAAATAAAAGTTCTGCGGCACCTGGGTGGCTCCAGCCCTATATTGGGCTGGGCATAGAGCCTACTTAAGATATATATATATATTTTCCATACATATATATTCCATGAAAGCTAGGGGCTTTTTCCTTTTTTAAAAAATGTTTTTAATTTTAATTTTTTTAAAAACTAGGTTCCATACCCAGCATGGGGCTTGACCTCACGACCTCGAGATCAAGAATCAGATGTTTTACCAACTGAGCCAGCCAGCACCCTTCTTTTTCTTTTTCTTTTTCTTTCTTTTTTTTTTGTAAGATATTTTATTCACTAAGCATCTAGAATAGTGCTTGCCGCAAAATCTGCACCGTATTTGTTAAATTAATGAATATTTAAGATTTTGAATTCTTAACCAGTTTAATGTCTTTGAGATGATTTTATAATTAGGATATGGCTATTTGGGGCACCTGGGTGGCTCAGTCCATAAATCATCTGCCTTCAGCTCAGGTCATGATCTCAGGGTCCCGGAATCAAGCCCTGCTTTGGGCTCTCCACTCAGCGGCAAGTCTGCTTCTCCCCCTCCCTCTGTGATCTCTCTGGTTTTCATTCTCTCTCAGATAAATAAAATCTTAAAAACCAAAAAAAAAAAAAAAAAAAAAAAAGATATGACTAGTCTATAGGTTAAATGAGAAGCGTTCCGAGGAAGCAAATTTGGACTTTCTGTCAATCTCACTGAGAGTCTGAGGTGATTAGTAAAATAATACGTGTACAATTCTAACCATGCTAGTCCCTTGAGCATTATATTCCAACTGTCCATATTATAGTCTAGGTAAAACATCCGGGAGCGGTGCTTTTTCTATTGGCTATTTCTGTGGTACATTCTTTATTGCTAAGACCACTTAAAGTGTATGCACACCCTATTTTTAAATGACTAATGTCACTTAATATTGAAAACTCTACAGGTTAAAAAGCAAAAATACAATACAAGAGAATAGCCTGAGGTAAAAGCAAACATATAAGAGGAGAGAAATATGGTTTTCATTATAGCCTTTTGTGTGGAAACTCTGTAGCATATTTGAGGAAATATCTTTAAGTAGTCCCTCCCCCCATTATGTAGGACAAGATCAATTATACCATCTGCTCCTCTAGGTAACTTGGCAGCTGTTAATTGACTAACATTATTCCCTGAGTTTTGCTGTAGCCATGGATGGTTCTAGAACATAAAAACGAGATTTGTGACACGTGATGGGGATAAAGGAGGGCACCTGTTGTAATGAGCACTGGGCGATGTACGGAAGTGATGAATCACTACATTGTACACCTGAAACTAATATTACACTGTATGTTAACTAACTGGAATTAAAATAAAAACTTCAAAAATAAATAAGTAAATGGGAGGAAAAAAGAATAAATATTGACTGACTGGGAAGAACAAAGTAAATATTTACATAGTCATAAATCATTTTTGTTTTCCCAGAGGTTTTATGATGTTCTATATATCTGAACGTTTTCATGTATTAATGTATAGAGCAGAAGCAATTAAGTAATTTAATACCAACAGAATTTATACTTCAAATGGCGAAAGAATGGATCATCTCAGTTTGTGGTAAGATACCCAGATGCTTCCTGTTACTCTGTCCAGAACGATGTTAACATTATTAACCTCAGAGGAGGCCGTTAAGCCAGTCTTGAGCTAGAAATGGCAAGCATCATGTTTCTGTCTGTGGAAGAAGGAGAAAAGAATCGTGTTACCTAAAATGTATGAGCAGCAAAGTTAGCGTAGGTTATACAATAATCACTGATGATGTGATAAATTATCATTCAGTCCCTACGGTATATGTCCATCTCTCTGAAATAAAGCTAACGAGCAATTTTAAGTACAGAGACTCCCGATACCACTCTTAGAATGCTCATGCAAATACCCCACAGGCCATTTGTCCGTTTCTTTTTCTTCTATTGGAAGAGGATTTCTATCTTTTCTGAGTCAAACTCTTTGAATGGTGTGTTACTGAATTCTTTTTTGCTCCCCTCTCTTTAACCTGACTGGAGTTCAGAAAATATCTGAAATGTTCATTCTTTTAAACTACAAAAGGGGCTTTTGTGTTATTTGTTGTTTATGCCAACTCCTTAATTTAAAGTAAAAGAAAAAAAGCAAACAGCAAAGCAGCAACCACAAAAAGCCTCCACAATGTACTAAATTGTCCAGATTTTCATTTTTGGATTATATCCATTAATAGTATTTGGTTTAGGGGTGCCTGGGTGGCTCAGTTGGCTAAGTGTCTAACTCTTGATTTCGGTTCAGGTCATGATCTCAGGGTGGCGAGATGGAACCCCACTTCTGGCTCTGTGCTGGACATGGAGCCTGCTTAAGATTCTCTTCCTCTCCCTCTCCCTCTGCCTCTCTCCCCATGAACTCCTGTGCAGGCACCCTCTCTCTCTCTTTAAAAAAAAAAAAAAAAAAAAAAAAGAGTATTTGCTTTCATTAATCTGTAACACTGCATCAAAATCATTACAATACTGAAGCATACTAAATCTTCCAAAACACACCAACTCTTCCAAAATTGAGCTATCTTAAAAGAAAATAAAATGTTCTTTTCGTGTTACCTAACAATTAGAAAAACCAAGTTCTAGGCAAGTAAATTGCTTATAGTTACATAGACTAACCCAATTCTACAGGGAAATAGCTCCAGGTGTTTTGTCATATTTTTTGTTGTTGTTAACTATGGACTTTGTTCAGATTTCATTGGTTTACCACTAATGTCCTTTTTCCACTCCAGACACTCAGTCTTTCCTTCTCTTTATGACCTCAACCTTTTAAAAGAGTACAGGTCAGTCATTTTGTAGAGTATCTCCCAATTTGGGTTTCATTTGGGTTTTCTCATGATTAGATGAGGTAATGTAGTTTTGGCAAGAAAATCTCAGACACCATGTGTCCTTTTCAGAGCATCCTATTGGGGCATGATGTTGAGATGTGTTACGGCTAGTTGTATAGTTTTCTTCTGCCACCGGAGTAAATCACCATAGACCCATTTATTATCTTTCCATTTCTAGAGGTGAGAAGTCCAGGCAAAGGGCGGCTGGGCTCTCTGCTCAGGGTCTCCCAAGGGTGAAATCAGGGTGTTGGCTGGGCTGCATTCGGATTTGGAACTTGTAGTCCTCTTGTTGGCTCACTTGGGCTGTTGGCAAAATTCAGTTTCTTGGTTATAGGACAGGACTGTTTCCTGGCTGTCTGGCAGCCAGGGATCACTCTCATTTCCTACAGGTTCCTCTCTAGTTCTAACTGATGGCCCTTCCATCTGTAAGGGCAGGTAAACCTCCTAGATAGTCCCTCTCATACCTCGAGTCTCCGATTTCCAGGCCCAGGTGTAAAAGGCCCTTATGGGACAACGGGGTGGCCCAGTCAGTTAAGCATCTGCCTTCAGGTCATGATCTCAGGGTCCTGGGATTGAGTCTCACATCAGGCTCCCTGCTCAGCAGGAGCCTGCACAGGGAGCTTGCTTCTCCCTCTTCCTGTTGCTCCCCCTGCTTGTGCTCTCCCTCTCTCTGTCAAATAAATAAAATCTTAAAAAAAAAAAAAAAAAAAAAGGTAAGGAGGATGGAAGGAGTGAACAGGAATCTTAGAATTTTGCTTGCCACACTAGTGATTATTAATCTTGATTACTTGGTTAAGCTGGTGTCTTCAGGGTTTCTCCACCGCAGAGTTACTGTATTGTACTTATAATTACAAAGTATCCTGGGAGACATACTTTGAACTATGCAAATAGTCTGCTTCTCCTCCAACTTTCCCATATTAATTTTTTAAACGGTTTTATATATTTGTTTTTTATTTAAGAGAGTGAGCACGAGTGGTGGGGAGGGGTAGAGGGAGAGGGAGAAGCAGGCTCCCCGCTGAGCAGAGAGCCCAATGTGGGGCTCCATCCCAGGACCCTGAGATCATGACCTGAGCTAAAGGCAGGCGCTTTACCGACTGAACCACCCAGGAACCCCTTTCCCATATTAATTTTAACATTCTTCAGTGGAATCGTCCATTCTCCTCCATGTATGTATGTATTTATGTATTAATTTATTTCATTGTGGCCTCATGAGAATACATATTTTATTTGAGGGGTTATAATCCATCATTATTTTGTTGTTCAACTTGTTCCAGCTTTAGCCATTAGTAGCCTTTTCAGATTAGTGGCTGTACCCTTTTGACATGCCCCCCCAGTCCTTGAGCACTTACTTCTTTACTTTCTGATATCAAAAGAAGCTGTGGATTCATCTTATCTTTTTTCCTGACCCAAACCTGAATAAATCGCTTTTCCAAGGATAACTCCAGTTGTAATCCAAGAGAAGTAGAGGTAAAGTTGCGTTTGTATTGACTTCAGGCCTCCATAGGATTGGTGCAGATTAATGAATGTATTAATTGAAATTTGCTTCCAAACAAAGTACTACAAATTTAATGACTTAACACAGTTTATTATGTTACAGCTTTGCAGGTCAAAAGTCCGAAAGGGGTTTTACTGGGCTGAAATTAAGCCATCAGCAGGGTTGCATTCGTATGGAGGCTCCAGGGGATAAACTTTTCCCTTGTCTTTTCCAGCTTCTAGAAGCTACTACCTATGTACCTTGAGTTGTGATGATCCCCTCCTACATCTTTAAAACCAGCGGGCACAGTGTCTCCTAATCTCCTCCAACTCCTGTCCTCCCGCCTCACTCTTATTAGGACACTTCTGATTACATTGTCCCCACCCAGATAATCCAGAATAATCTCCCCAACTCAAGATCCTTAACTTAATCCTATCTACAAAATCTGTTTTGCCATGTTGGGTAATATGTTCAGGGAATTAAGACATGGACATATTTGGGGGCTACTATGTAGTCTACCACATGAATATATTTAGACTAATATATATGGATTAGTGGGACAACCAGTCCACATTAATCAGGCAAAAGGGGGAAAAAAAAGCATACACACACACACACACACACACACACGCACACACACACACATTTTTTTTTTTAAGAGAGGGAGAAAGAGAATATCAATCAAGCTCCATACCCAGGGCGGAACCAACAGCCAGGTATCCAGCATGGGGCTTGATCTCACAACCCCGAGACCATGACCTGAGCTGAAATCAAGAGTCAGATGCTTAACTGACTGAGCCACCAGAAGCCCCAAGGGAAATATCTTTTATTTATTTATTTTTTTTTTAAGATTTATTTATTGGACAGAGAGAGACCACAAGTAGGCAGAGAGGCAGGCGGGGCGGGGGCTGGGTGGGGGGTGTAGCAGGCTCCCTGTGGAGCAGAGAGCAGGATGCGGGGCTCGATCCCAGGACCGTGAGCCAAAGGCAGAGGCTTTAACCCACTGAGCCACCCAGGCGCCTTGGGAAATATCTTTTTATTTTTTTTTTTTTTGCCCATATGTTAATAATGATTTTATTTAACTTGTTATTAATGAGGGAACTTAGTAGGTTTTTTTTAAATTTTATTTTTTATAAACATATAATGTATTATTAGTCCCAGGGGTACAGGTCTGTGAATGGCCAGGTTTACACACTTCACAGCACTCACCATAGCACACACCCTCCCCAGTGTCCATAACCCCACCACGCTCTCCCTATCCCCTCCCCCCCAACAACCCTCTGTTTTGTGAGATTAAGAGTCTCTTCCGATCCCAGGGAAGTATCTTTTTAATACCAGGTCCCTTTTTACTTTTTCTTCATAGCGCAGTAGGTCACCTTTTTATTATTTTATTTTATT